GGGGAAGTTCCACGAACCCCCTTTTGCCCCAAGCCGCGCAGTTGGGACATCGCTTCTGTTCGGAAGCAAAAAACGCAGGAACTTGGCCACACAAGTGACACCATCTTTAGGCAGGATGCGTCGGGAGGGGCTTACGGACTGATTCAGAATAGGCGAAAAATGACCCAACGCACCCCAACCGCTGCAAGCGCGATTGCGGGCGAAATTTCCGCATTCACAGAACCACCACAGCACACCCGTTTCTCAGACGCGCTTCGCAGTCTGGACGTGAATCCGAATGGCTTCGCCTTCCGCAAGCTCCTGATGGCTGCGCTTTCCGCTGGCTCCCTGTTTGGGGCTATATTGGAACAGCGGGGGCCTCTCGAGTGCATATGGGAGCATGTGAGGCCATCGCGGGCAATTTCGGGACAGCCATGAGGCATGATTGAGCAAGTCTGGTCCATTGGGGGATCATCTTGGAGCTTTTCGGGGTCACCCTGGCGGCCGTCCTGATGAGATCTTGGAACAGCTTTGGGGAATAAACACAGCAAGGGGCACACACATTCAAAACGCGGTGTAATTCGGTTTTGGTGTTGGAGCACTCCTGGTCCACTTTGAGGGCATCCTCCGGCCTGTTTCGGCAGTCTTTCGCCCCCTGCGCCCCCCCAAAGGGGCGAGGGGGGGGGACATCATGGCCAGGGCAATGAAATCTTCCAGGTTCCAGCTCGCACGGGCCCGCGACGACGACGGCGGCGACGGCGACGATGACGAATATGACGACGGCGACGACGACGACGACGACGACGGCGACGACGCCGTCGTCGTCGTAGACCAGGGGGCACAGAGAATGGCATCCATCAGAGGTTTTCAAGAAAGGGTCCTGCTTTCGGCGCATCTCGCCTCTGGCGGAAGCGGGCGGAAGACAGGCAGGCAAAGTGGCAGGGGGGGCTTATCTAGCACGCGGCGGGGGCAAGAGCGGGACGCCACCATCTATTGGACCCAGTGTTTCCAGAGTCGGCTATACAGCGAAGACGCTGAAAAAAGGAAAAGCTCAGCTCGGAAGGGGCTCGCTGTTCCCAAGGTCCTCCCACGGTTGCCCCCCCCGGCGCCCCCTCGTGCACCCACGTGCTGGGGCCAGACCGGAGGTTCGTTCTTCATGCAGCGTTCGTTTTGGTAGCATATCGGTTCCATGTGATTCTAGTGCATACGTCCAGCCACGTTGGCAGGACGCTGGTCTGCGCCTGTTGCATTTTGCCTCTTGCTGATCGCACTGTGGTGACACGCTGGCCTCACCGTGATCGCTGCTTGGAGGTGTCCGCCCCCCTCTCCCCCCTCCAGACTTGCGCTGGACGACGAAACATGGCAGCACGTTGACTGCACATGCGGCATGGGCCTCTGTCTCCTCCCCCGCCTCGTGCCGCAGGCGCGCCATCCCCCCAGACGGAACAGTTTGCACCTGTACTGGAACAGCTCGGAGGCCTCTCGGGGGCATCCGTCGTGGGCACTCTCGGGGCTACGTTGAGGCCTCAGGGTTCCCAGACCCCCGACGTCATGAATGTTTCATAACATGGACCCCCAGCGGTCTGGACCCACTCCCCGGGACCTGCTTTTTCGTCCCGAGTCGTTTTTTTGATTGCCCCGAGGCCCGGTAGAGGCCCCCCGAGGCCGAAAATGCAGAAGAGCTCCCCGTCATGAGTTTGCCATGGCCCGCGGGGGTCTGGGCTGCCAGGGTCGACTGTGCACAGCGGTGTTCCAGACCCGCCCCCGCGCTGGCCGCCCGCCAATTACGCCAGGGCGCGGCCCTCTGCCGGGGCGCCCCCGGGGAGGCGCCCTCGGCTCGTGCGGGCTGGGCGAGGGCGCCGAGCTGCGCGCTGCGGCGTGCGCTGCCCGGCGCAGCTGCTCGGGGAGCAGGAGAGGGGCGAGGAAGAAGTCATGCCCGTGTGGGGAGGGAGGGGCCGGGAGGAGGAAGGGCACGAGCAATGGCATCTGGATGCAACGAACGATGCCTTCGGCCGCCTACGGGTGATGCCCTCATGTCTCCCAACCCGGTCCTCCAACCATACGACTGTCTTCCTGGAAAGGGCACAAGCAGAACTGTTCGACGCTCCGCGCGGATATCTCGGATCGGCGCTTGGGCCCCCCTGGCGGCGCCTCCAGCGCCGCCCCAGGCGCGCTCCGCGCGCCAAGGAAAGGGGTCCTGGCGCCGATCCAAGAGCGGATCTCCCGGAGTATATGCTCATGCAGTTGTTTGCCCCTCTGGCTGCGAGTGTCTGTCTGTGGCCCCGAGACTCGGGGGTCGCATTTTGTTCAAGCCGGACGTTTTTGCTCGATTTCGGGCCCCGGTACCATCACAGATCGATCCAGCTAAAATGCCGCAGTTCCGCGGTGTTGCAATTTTTCGCGACTTCGGATCTCAGGGGGGACAGCATAGCACGCACGGAATGACATCAGGAAAACAGAATGGATGGATTGCCGTGGTCAAGCGGCGATGATACCACATCAAGGACCGTTATGACGTGGA